AGTTCAAGTCCCAGACCTGGAGGCTTGATGATCACACCAAGCGCATGTGACTGTGTGCCCAAAATCCCCAGAGGAGAGCAGAGGAGGGACTATACCACGACCATCCACCCTGTGAGGTGATTTCTTTTTTTCTTTTTTTTTTGAGAGGTTTTTGCTATAGGGCACGTGCACTCATCAGACAGACAGAGAGAGGCAGAGAGATAGAAAGCGAGAAATCATCCCCCCAGAAGGGATGGCCATGCCGCAATCCCTTCTCCTCCATTCTCTTCTCGGGATCTTGGGCAAGCACGCACACATGCCCAGCGTGAGTTTAAGCCACCGGGTCCGGGACGCAAACCGCAGTCGACTACGTGGGAGTCCAGCGACATAGCCATTACGCTAATTGCTGGTCCCTTGGGAGATGATTTCTCACTTTCCCTCTCTCTGTCTTTGTCTCTCTCCTGCAAGTGTATGTGCCCAGTGACAAAAATCTTGGGGGGAAAAAGAAAGAAAGAGAGAGAGAGAGAGAGAGAGAGAGAGAGAGGTGGCTTTATCAGTAGAGCAAAATAAACTTCTTATGAACTGTGAAGTATGGAAGGAAACAAATGTGAGGGAATCATAACAACAGTCTCAGGACTGACAAGAGCTGGACCTTTTTTATTCCCTCAAAAAACATATTTTCAAAGAGAAAGCTAAAGCATTCTCTGACTTTCTGGGAGAATGATCTAGAAGGTTCATTGGCACACGAAGGCCATTTATGGACTGATCTAGCTTTCTTCAGCCTGTCCTAGCTCTTTGTGTTGATTTCAGTACCTGAGAAATACACGGAGTGACGATTAACAGGAAAATACCTGTAGTCATTGCAGTTTGCATTTGGTCCTGTGACTTTCCTTTCCCTGCTGAATTTAAATTGTTTCTCTTTTAGGGAAAAAAATGTACCTTTAGGTTTCTCACTTCTGCTTCTCTCTAAGAGGCTTGCTATTATCTTTAAGACCGTCTACCTTGCTCTCAAACTTGTAATCTCTTCATTCATAATTAATGTTTTTCTATATCATCATTTTCCTTACATTTTTGCCATTAAAAGTATATGTAATTATTGGGAACCAGCAGTTAGCATAATGGCTATGTCGCTGGACTCCCACGTAGTCGACCGCGGTTCGTGTCCCAGACCCGGTGGCTTAAAACTCACGCCGGGCGCATGTGCGTGCGTGCCCAAGATCCCGAGAGGAGAATGGAGGAGAAGGGATTGCGGCGTGACCATCCCCCCTGGGGGGTGATTTCTCGCTTTCTGTCTCTATGTCTCTCTCTGTCTGTCTGGCGAACACACGCGCCCTACAGTGAAAATCTCTCCAAAAAAAAAGAAAAAGTATATGTAATTATACTAAATGTCAACACTAGACTATTGCTAGTATCAGAAGTACTTAATGATGCTGCTAAGTTTAGAATATTAGTGTATTCCTTTTTTCTAGTTTCTACTTTTATTCTAAGACTATTTCTTATTCTAAAAGACCATTTCTACATTTATTCTAAAATCAGATGTTTTTGATTATCTACAGATATAAGCATCAACTTATTTATTTATTTATTTATTTTTGGAGAGGTTTTCGCTATAGGGCGCATGCGCTCGCCAGACAGAGAGAGACACAGAGACAGAAAGCGAGAAATCACCCCCCAGGGGGGATGGTCACGCCGCAATCTCTTCTCCTCCATTCTCCTCTCGGGATCTTGGGCGGGCACGCACGCACACGCGCCCGGCGTGAGTTTAAGCCACCAGGTCCGGGACGTGAACCGCGGTCAACTACGTGGGAGTCCAGCAACATAGCCATTAACGCTAACTGCTGGTTCCCAGCATCAACTGTTTAAATAAGGGTGAGAATAGATTGATTGGGATGTTGGAAAACTCATGATGTATTTTTCTGTTTTTCTATGCAAAAATGCATCATGACTTTTTCTACACCCTAATGGAATGAAGAAAGTATTGTGATGCCAATGGGGAAATGTTGAAAGTTTGTTTTTTATTGAGAAAAAAAACAACAGCTATATTTAATTTAAATTGTTATGCTATCTTTCAAGGATAACAAGTGGATACCCAAGTGAATTTTCCAACTAGAAAATGACCAAGCTACTGACCACCTAACACAGGGCTGTATGGTGCAAGGTGATAAACAATAAATTCACTATCTTTGGGAACTATGCAAATGTGTATAAAAAATAAAAGTAAGGGGGTCAGCAAATGGCTTAGTGGTTACGTCATTGTACCCCCACATGGCCAACCACTGTTCGAGTTCCGGACCGGTGGCTTCAAAATCATGCTAGGTGTGTGTGTACGCGTGCCCAAGATCCCAGGAGGGGAACAGAGAAGGGACTACGCATGGCCATCCCTTCGTGGGGTGATTTCTCACTTTCCCTAAAATCATGCTAGGTGTGTGTGTACGCGTGCCCAAGATCCCAGGAGGGGAACAGAGAAGGGACTACGGCATGGCCATCCCTTCGTGGGGTGATTTCTTACTTTCCCTCTTGCTGCTGTCTCTGTCTCTCTCTCTCTCTGGCGAGAGTGCACAGTCCCTAAGGCAAAAACCGCTGAAAAAAAAAAAAAAAAAAAAAAAGTAAAAGCCAGTTGAATGGATAGGTGGCACATTAGCTCTCTTTCAGCCTGATAAAGCAGCGCCACCTGCTGGACATAAGCTTTATTTATGGTTGAGAACTCCAGAAATTGATCTCTACTGAGCTAAGCAAAAACAAAACAGGTTTTCCGTCTCTTTTAAGATCCAAATCTAGGTCAATTTATTGAACATGTTTTTAGTGTTTTCTTGTGTGTGTGTGTTAGTCTACTTATTTGTATTGAGAATAACAAACAAGAGTGAGATAGTAAAAGGGAGATAAAATAATGCAAATATGAGGAAACAGGAATAGTGTGTATTTCTTCTTGCTATCCAGTGATGTATCTTCAACTCTGAAAATACGTATGACATACCTCCAGGTTCCCTTTGTAATTTACCAATGCCTTGAGAATCAATAGTTAACCAATGATTGTTTAAATTGAACAGTTGTTCTTATTTCATCCTAGGCTGCCTCTAGATACATTCCTTAATTAAATAATTACAGATTTAATAAACATTTGTTGAATTCCCCCTTCTCTAGTTTTTTTCTATAATAACACTTAAATCTGTAATATTTTTAAAATAATAACTCCTAACATTCCCTCTGTGTTTTATGTTACCAGCATCATGTAGGCATTAATAGAGAGCATCAATAAGAGCATATTTTTTTATGAAGTTGGGGTCATTCATTCTCCTTTCAACCATTTGGTTTACCTCATCTAGTCTATTTCACCCACAACATAAAATAAGTAAGTGAGAGTGGACAGGGTACAATGGTGCTCATGATTCTTTTTATCATTCCCTATAACTCTTTCAGGGTCTTAACTGGTTATTGACTGTGCACATCGGTCATGGAGATGCTTACACTTTTGTGCTGTGGTCATGCCATTTCAGATCCATAATTAACTTTGTGGCATGCACTCATTCATATTAAATCATATTCGTCATCCTACCATGAATTTATCTCTGTACTAATAGAATGTCGCACACTCCAGAATTTATAATATCGGGCATTTGTCAGGGCTTTGATCTCCAAATAAAGTGAAATAGAGTATAAGTTCTGTCTATATTAAGCCCAAGTCACAATTCTGTAACTGATGCATGTTAGAAAGCTAGACAGGCAGTTAACATAGATGGTTTCAATTTTGCATCCTGATTTCCAAAAAAGAGCTAGTTGAATCTGAAATGCTATCACAAACTTGCTTCTCTTATACTTGTCTATATCTTTTCATATTTTTTGTAACTTGTTCAGTTAGAACATGTCTGTCATATGCTTGCCCTTATGCTAGGTTCTAGGGGTTCAGTAATGAAAAAATAAATGCATTACCCTCAGTGAGCTCCCATTTTGATAGAGGACAGCAGTGTATGAGCGGTCCTAGAACAGCAAGGGTAAGGAGCTAGAGACACAAAAGGAAGTAGACTCAACTCAAGCTTCCAGAGAAGGGCAGTAGGAAGGAAATCAAGGAAGACATTTCGAGGAGAGAAGCCTTTCTCTGAGTTTGCAGAGAAGATACAGGGTATATGAGGAAGACTGTTCTAGGAGATGAAACAGGACCTGCAGAGACACTGAGATGAGAGAGCAGGACAGGTTTGGGGAAATATGGGTTGCTCAAGACACCTGAGACTCAAGACTGCAAATGAATTTCTGAAAAGATGAAACAAGTAGTAGAGGACAAATAGTGGAGAGTCTTTTTATGAATTTGGACTTTATCCCAAATGCTTTACTGCTTTTAAAATATGTTAAGTAAGGCTGTAAGAGTGTGTGATGGAATGAAATCCAAACTGATTAGAAGCTCCCTCTAGCACTGCTACTGAGAATAGACAGGAGTAGTGCATAACTAGGGAAGGAGGGGGTTAGGAAGTGACTGAAGGAAGAGCAGTCAGTGCTTTTAGGAGAGGGCGAGGGAACGGTGCTAGACTATGACGGGAGTAGAACCGATTTGTTGACTGGTTAATGTGAAAACTATGGAAGGAGAAGTCAGATACCACTTTGGCTCCCAGCATGGAAAGTGTTGATAGCACCTTCTGCTAAAATAAGAGGAGTCTTCAGAAGTCCATAGAAAAAGTATAGTATGAAAAAAAAATTATGCATGGATTTCAAACATTTTTTTTGCAGCACATAAACTCATACTTTAATTCCATTTTTTCCCACAAACTTTTTGAGGTCCCCTTGTGCATGCAGGGCACAGATTAGAGATGTTTGCAGAGGTGAGGAGGTGTACTGTGCATACAGTAAATACATCCAAGTGGACAGATCCAATGGGTAGCTGGCATTTGGCGTTGAGGGGAGAGACCTGAATTAGAGATGATCAGACTAATCTTTGTGAGTCCTCAGTAGTGTGTATAAAAGAAAATAGACATTGGTTCTACACTGAAGACCTTCCTTCATCTGTCCTACTGTTCTTACACCCCTCCCCCCAGAGGACTGGTATGAACAGTTGTATCCCCTCATCCTTACCCTGAAGGACTGCATGGGAGAAGTGGTGAATCGCGCCAAGCAGTCCCTGACGTTTGTGCTCCTGCAGGAACTTGCATACAGTCTACCCCAGTGCTTGATGCTGACACTGAGAAGAGACATCGTCTTCAGTCAAGCAGTAGGTGCCCGTTGTCAGTATGTGCAGTGTTGAATGGTTAATGCTTGTACTCACGGCCGTCTGTTTTGTTTTTGTTTTTGTTTTTAAATAGGTCCTTCTCTTACAATTTTAACAATATCCAGTTTTTCTTATTTATAATAAATTTGAGCTAAATAGAACACGGAAACAGTGAAAGCTTCAGCATTTCTGAAAAGGAATGGCTAAGTCTCTGAAATGCACATTCTGCATCATAGGGCATGGAGCCCATGAGGAGAAGGGGGCCACATTCTTTTATCATGCCCTGGATGTCTCTATATAGCAAAAGGGTCATGCTGGCTTGCACCCCAGGAGATGGGCTAAGACTTGGTAAAGGGGATCTCTTTATGACCTCTTATTTTTATGGCTTTCCTCTGAATCCCAGGACAGGGTTCCACCATGATCTCTGATTCTGTTTATAAAATAAATTTTCAGGGCAGTAGGAATAAGGAGCTTTGATGAGACCACTTCTCTTTGCCTACTTTCAGTACTTTTCGTGAAGCCAAGAATAGCTCCTGCCTGCCTTCACCCTGTGGTTGCCCTGGAGCACATGAAGGGGAAGAGGCGGTAGTCTCTCTAAACTTCTAGGCAAAGAGAGTACTTTAGTCAAACTGTGCCCGCCCTTCACTGTTTTGTGGATGATCTTGTAAGTGGCAGTGGAGCAAACCAGGGATTAGGCCTTATCTATGTTTCTCTACTGTGTCCTTTCAATTACTGTGAAATGAGGATTATTGTCTCTATCCTACAGGTATCAAAATAGAAATAAGATGATTTGGGTGTGTTTCAAAAACTTTTTTATGCTCATATTCTCAGAAATGATAGACATAAAATTGGAAGACATAGCAACCTGATAAAGTCCTGATCTTTCCCCTTTTGCAACATTACCTTCCCCAAGACTTTTATACCCAGCTCATTACATGAAGCACTGTCAGCTGAATATGTATATATAAATAGTTGTGGTTTTGCTACACATAGTTGAGAATGTTTTTATTAAATTGATGAGCTTAATTAAATCTAAAGTCTCAAAATAATTTAAATTTAAATGATGAATATATTTGCTAATTCTAGTAAATTTCTTCTACTTTTTTCTTTTTTCTTTTTTTTTTTTTAGCTTGCTGGATTAGTTTGTGGATTTATCATCAAATTATATACAAGTTTACATGACCCTGGCTTCTTACAGCAGCTTCACATGGTGGGGTTGATAGTTCAATATGAAGGACTGCTAAGTACATACAGTGAGTATTGCTTCAGTATATGTTACAGTGATATTTCTGGGATTGGCAGATGGCATAATGGTTACGTCACTGGACTCCCATGTAGTTGACCATAGTTTGAGTACTGGACCTGGCGGCTATAATCTCATGCCAGGCACATGTGTATACATGCCCAAAATCCTGAGAGAAAAGTGAAGGAGAAGGAACTGCAGCATGGCCATCCTCTCTGGGGGGTGATTTCTTGCTTTCTGTCCCTCTGTCTTTCCAGTGATTGCACATGCCCTATAGCAAAAATCTCTCTTAAAAAAAATTCCTATTCATAACAATTCTTAACTTATACATTTTTCAGGTACACATAAAGTGAGAAGGAAATCTGTGTTATACGAAGTATTACAGAAATAATTTTTAGTGTTTTGTATTCATTCACCTTCTAACTTCCTTCTGCCTTCCATTATGTTCTGAAAATGGAATTATGGATTTTTTTTTCAGAGTGGACTCCTGAGCAGCCATCTGGCTTTTTAAAAATAAAAGGCTCTTTGCCAGTATAGTTTTAATGACTGGATTTTAAAATTTCAACCCTCTAAAGTTGAGAACTGCCCTGTTTAGTACAGTATCCTCGTGTGGCTACTGAGTACTTGAAACGTGTCTAGGGCGAATCGATATGCACTAGTTGTGCATACCAGATGTCAAAGACTACGTAAAAAGAACTTCATATTAAGTCATTTTTAATGTATTTATATTCTAAATAGTATTCTGGTTATATTGGGTTAAGTAAGATATATTCTTAAAAAATTTGGTTCACCTTTGTAAATTTTTGGTCTTTTAAAAATATAACTACCAGGAAATTATGTATGCAGCTCATATTGTGTTTCTGATGGAAAATGCTGATCTAGACTCTTAATCAGCTCCCTCTCAAGCTCTATTAGCCACTGTGTAGATACAAAGCTAGCTTAAACCTGGGTCAGTGAAGCCAATCCGATCATCTCTATTCTTTCTAGAAATCGGATGTCTGCCCTGCCAGTGCACAGAAATCTCTGTGTACTTTGTTTCAATAAAGGGGCTGCAACTTCTTTCCAGCCTCCCAGTAAATGCACATTCTTCCTTCCTTCAAAGGGTACACTGACTTCTAGAGTCCACTGAAATGATCTTTAGCTCACTGATGAAAACCGTCAGCCTCACAGTGAAAACATATAGAATATATTCATGGCACTCAGAAACTCATTCTCTATAATGATAGGACAGATTCTAGCAGGGCAGGGAGGTTTAGTAGCTGGTGACATTTACTTCAGAGTGTGTTCGTAATCAGGTACCTGTTCTCCTGTTTAGGTGATGAAATTGGAATGCTAGAGGACATGGCTGTTGGCATCTCAGATCTGAAGAAAGTAGCATTTAAAATCACTGAAGCCAAATCCAGTGATGTCTTGCCAGTTATAACAGGAAGACGGTGAGTGGGGGTCACTTCCTAACTACCATGCTTTGTTGCACGTGTTGTATTAACTCTCAATGGACCAGCAATGAGAATTCAAGTTTTTTGGGGGAATTTTTCTCTTGCTTCCTTTTATTTTTAGATAAGAGATCATTTTAGAAATAAATATGAAAGAGGAGGTCTGGAAAACCTCCTACAAGTCTCCTGAATGTTTGCAAATTGTAGTGAGGTGAGGATGCTGACCCTCTTCCAGGAAATATGACAAATGCAAAATAATAGCAAGCATGAGAAGAACATTTTGGTCTTTATTACTATGTAGTCCTGAGCTTTAGATGTTTTTTACTTTTGCGGGAATCGTTCCGTTAATAGCGTCATAATTCTTGAGATGACTTTAAATTAAATTCACTTAAAAGCATCAACATTTCAGAAAAGATATATTCCCATGTCAGGAATGTATACCACCATTTTTCTTAATTATTTTTGACAATTCTCTCTCAAACCGTAAGGTTTCCGAGAAGAGTTTTAAATAAATAGCTTCGAAGGTCAGTGGATGATGGGCAAAATATCAGAAATAATTAAGAAAAATGACTATGTATAGTGTAGACCTCCTCTAGAAAAATTATATCATATAGTAAGGCATTTCAGTCAGAAATCCTACAAATTTCGAACATTCTGTGTGTTAGCGCATTTATTTATTTAGTGTTTTTAGTGCTAAGGGTACCTGTTCTCACCAGAGAGGCAGAACAGGAGAGGATAAAGCATTCCCATGGAGAATGGTTATACCTCAATCTCTTCTCCATCTGTCCCTCCTTTTGGGATTTTGAGCATGTACACACATGCACACAGCTTGTTTCTCAAGGATTTGAATTGCTCATTTGTTCTTAGGGGATCCAGCTTCCTTAATTACTGGGCCACACAACTTGGTCCAGTATTAGTCTATTTTTTCCTATAAAATACTAATAAGATTTTTTTTTTCTCACCAGAAAGACAGAGACAGAGAGACAGAAAGTGAGAAATCAACCCACCCCCCCCCAGGGGCGC